ATTCATTCCGATGGAAGCAAAAAGTGTCCATGTAAACGTACCTACTGATACTGATTGTGATTGCAGATTTTGATGTCTTGGCAAATCCAAGCACAGTTAGAGACATTGCTGAGATCTCTTTTGAACGGGCTCTTAGAAACATCTGAGAAGAACATCTTGAGAAGAAGTTTCCACTTACTCTCCATTATTATCTAGGAGAAACAAATGAGGCATCCCATTTGTGATTAGCATAGCTCAGATCATTTGGCCTTGGAAGAATTAGATTAGAAATGTTTGAGTTCATGTTGAGATTTGTCACTTTTAATTGCAGTCTTTGGTATCTTGTCATGCCCGAGCACAGTTTGAGAGGTTGAGATCTCTAGAGCAGGGGTTTTCAACCTTTTAGGACATGTCCACACCAGGGTTTTTTAGGACATGCGCCCCCCCCCAAGTTTGTCTAATTTCACTCGTAAAGTAACATTTACTTTAATGTTTAAACTGACAAGACTTAAAACACGTGAGAATGAAAAACTTTCTTGAGGAAGCAGCACTGGCCTGATCGTTAAGATAGTTTTGGGGGCTAAGGTGACAGATAGGGGGGCTGAAACCCACCTAAAAAGGGTTTAGAACCGCCCCTGGTATAGCGTGCGTAATTATACTGAAACATAAATATATAACCAGTTTACCTGATTCAATGTGATGGCTGAGCCTGTTTCTGAGATAACAACATGCCAATCCGTGGTTGGATTTCCAACACGGCTAATCTTAAATCATCTTACACTGTCAATAAGCGTGACCAGGGTTGCCAGGTTTTCACAACAAAACCCGCCTAACTGCTACTCAAAACTAGCCCAAAACTACAAAACGCGGCAAGTGTTAAAGTAGCCCCCCCTGGTGCCCCCACAGGTTGAAAACCCCTGCTCTAGAGGACAATAGATGAGATTATAGAGTTGTCATACAAGGTTGCCAAGAGAAACAAATGAGACATACAATTTGTAATTATATTTAACCAATTTAAGCCCACCGGGAGGGGGGCGGGGGTTGGGTTCAAGTGACAGCAGCAATTTACAAACTTCAGTCAGTAACGCAAAAGGAAGAATGGAAAGATAAAGAGCTAAAGCATGGGATCACCTTTGTCTCAGATGTTTCTCCTAAAAAGGAGAAGGACACAAATGAGACAAGAGCACAGTGAATTTGATGAGAAATGCTTGAGATCATATTGAGATCTATGATTTCAAACTTCTTTTTTCAGTTTGAGATGTTGCCTCTAGAGGTATTTTAGTACGTTTAAATAATTGAGTTTTGGTGGTAATACCAAAGATTTAGGTTTGAATCAAGACTTCCACATCCCATCATGCCCTTGAGCAAGGCACAAGCGAGTATGGTTAATCCAGAAGGCTGTGTCTGCAATTAAGGAACTGTGGATAAGTACTCGCAAAATGACAGGTAAATACATAAAGTTCCCATTATGCAGCACAATCATTTCACGAAAGGCTCTCATTGTAATGATTAATGTTTAAGATTATCACATTTTTTCTTGTGCCTGTGCAGAACTTCTGTCACTAGCTAGTTCATAAAAATTGCCAAAGGGGTTTCAGATGCAATTGAAGGCTATATCACAGCTTGGGATGTCAGCTACCCTCGCGCTAAAACTTCAAATGAATACATGATCATTAAAATGTTGCTGCTGCAAATTATAAGTGCCATTTGTATAGAGAAAGTTCTGATGATTTAATCTAGTCAGGTAGCCATCACAGCCGTCTTCAATAAATGTCTTCACGCTTAGATTTCATTAAAACTCCAAGATTTAGCATGCTACTTTTCCACCTCCCCTCATACCTTTTCGATCCTGTCAAAAAGTGGGGCAATATTACCATCCTATGCAAATGTGTGGCCTGATTTACATTCCTTTTTAATTGGAGAAGAAAAAATGTACATATGTGGGAAAAGGAATCATGCATCTGACTCCACTGCATATATATATGCAGTCTTTACTGTCACCTTATAATACTAATTTTGTATTTTTATTCCAATTTTGTGTAAAAACATTTTAACTTCTGGCAATCAGAGCAAATAATCAAGGAGACTTCTGGTTATTTATTGATGTTAATTCATCCAAATGCAAAGTCAAGGTAAGCACATTGCATTTTGGGATATCGCACAGTCACAAAATTAGCCCAGCAGATGTCAGTCAATTTCTGACATTTCGTCTCTATTGTGACGCTTAAAAAATGATGAACAACTGCAGATGTAATGTCACTCCATTAATGGAAATGTATTCGAAGCTGTCAGAAGCAAAAATGGTTGATGTTGTTCCTGCTTTTTTTCTTCATTAATTTCTTGATGAAAGAAAATCTCAGTAATTAATTTGTCATTTATCTAATTTTCCCATCTAACCACGGCAGAGCTGTGTTCGTCTGCCATGAAACAGCGATATGTGTTGGTCTCGTCCGGGGCAAATTGAATTAGGCCCCGTAAATGAAGTTTAATTAAGATGCTGGTTTTAATGATTGGGCTCTGTGTCCTCTACATTGCCACTCATCAGTCATTTAGACAAAAGATCCTTCCCTCTCATGCCTCCAGGCATTCTCAGCCTTCAGATCTGGGACTAATAATGAGACTAATGTGTGTTTGGACTTCGTTTTATGCACAGAATGGCTTGGCTTAACTGTATGCATCAAGATTGGCCACTCTGCCTTCCAAGAGGACACTTTTGAAATTGTATGGGTTTTAAAAATGAATGTTCAACTTCAGTTTCACAGTGGATTTTTATAGTGTCACTTGCCTATGCAAAACTCACACAACTTGGATGTTGTGGGTAGTTGCAAAGGTGTTTCTAAAATGCTTCAGAATGCATTTCTTTTTTTTATAAAATATTATGTTGTATATTATATTATATTGTGTCAAACTGTGAATTAGTGAGGATTTTTTACTGACTCTTTCTGTAGGTTACACCAGTAGATGGCAACAAATTAGTGTTGTTACGAGTGAGTCATTTACTCATTCTTTCCACCAGTTCATTCAAAAACATTGATTCATTCTGGAAAAAAAACTCTATGAGTGAATCACTGAATTATTCACTCAACCACTTGTGTGGTTACGAGTGTGTCATTGAATTAATTAAAAACACAGATTTATTCAGGATCAAACACAAGTCATGGAATCATTCGCCCAACAGATTTGTTAAAAAAACGGATTAATTCAGGAACTTCACTACTTTGTGTTTGTCAGATACTCATCTGGAAATATTGTTGTTGATGGAGCAAAAATAGACAAAGTAACTGGCAATATTGTGTCTAAAATGAAAGTAATAGTCATGTTTATCTGACTGTTTTATAAAAGCAGTGTCACACTGTTATGGCAGTAGCTGGCAACATGTGAGTGAGTCATTAGCTCATTCTATCAACAGGTTCGTTCAACAACTTTAATTCTAAACAGGCCTCTATGAGTGAATCACTGAATCATTCACTCAACAGATTTGTTCAAAAACAGATTCCTTCAGAAACAAAACATGTGACTGTTGTTATGAGTGTGTCATTGAATCCTTTACTCAACTGATTAGTTTAAAAACAGATTCATTCAGGAACAAACACAAGTCTGTTGTTATGAGTGCATCATTGAATTATATACTCAACTGATTAGTTCACAAAAAACACAGATTCATTCAGGAGTGAACACAAGCCTGTCATTATGAATGAGTCACTGAATCATTCACCCAACTAATTTGTTAAAAAAAAACTGAGTAATTCAGGAGCATCACTAATGTGTGTTTTTCAGATACTTGCAAGAGTTCTGCTGTGGCTTTGGAAATATTTTTGTTGACGGAGCAAAAATAGACAAAGTAACCTGTCAATGCTGTGTCCAAAATGTCAGTTGCTAAATATTAATGTCTTGTTTATTTGACTGTTGTGTAAAAGTAGTGTCACACTCACAATTGTGTGGTTGTTAACATGATTAAGATGTTTTTATTTATTTGTTTGTTTGTTATAAAAGTTTAACAAAAAACAGGATCTTTCAAGCCCAGGACCACCTTAAATCCCCTGGGGTCACATAGCCATGTTTGGCAGCCAAAGTTGGCTTCGTTTGCAGTCTAGAGCCTTATTTCAAGTTCATAGTCCAGTCTTTGCTTGAGATTAAGTGGTTTAGTTTGTGGCATTTTCCGAAGATACTGTGTCCAAGATCACTTTAATGTGGCTGAACCCAGGTGATTCATTAAACCAACAAGACGAGTAAGTGCTCCCTCTGGTGAGATAAAAGCTTCCCATGCAGTTGAGTTGTAGACTACGGTCCACTACCGAGACGCATTGTATTTCATTCTCTGTAAATGAGTCCCTATAAATTCCAGCCTGACAAGTTCAATGATTGAGCGCTCCGACTGGACCTGTTAATTTGCTCTCCACTACTGACCATTTTTAAAGCTCTCCTTTGTTGCTTTACGCAGGATTTAACATAAATAGAGGTATCAATGCTCCACAATTAACTCCAGATATTAAAAAGAGTCACGGCAGGGTCGGATTTCAGATTATGCATGTGGGTGATGCTGATAACATTGAGTTAAAGCTAAGAAAAGATGAAAAAACTGACCGTGTTCAAACTCAGGGTTTGGAGGAAAGTTATACAATAGTTTTTGCAGTAGATTCGCACTCGTATTGTTGTTGGTGTTGTTTTTGTCATTTTCTCTAGCTAACCTCAGTGGAAAGGTCACTCCAGTCGGCGCTAATAAACTAATTATCACAGAACACGGCATGAATTCATCATTAGGCATTGAGGCATTGTGTGAATTAGTTTGGCATGCTTTGGAAAATGGAAATTGCATTGGAAATCCTTTGAAAAGCTTTGCAAATAAATTAAACTTGCATATAAATGAATGCCTCCATCCAGAGTCAGCCAAGAACTTGAACCAAGCCTGTCACTTGGGCATTTTTAGGAAAATAAATTAAATGCAGAATTTCTGAACTCTTATGAGCCAGATTTGAACACTTTTTGCATTGGACTCATGTCTTCTTTGTTCTTTTTTGCAGGGTTGGAGAAAGTCGGCAGGGACTCCACTTATGAGCAAGAGGGAAAGGTGCAGTTTGTGATGGACGCGGTGTACGCTATGGCCAACGCGCTGCACCGCATGCATCGGGACCTCTGCTCGGGATATCCAGGACTTTGTCCACGCATGAGCAACATAGATGGCAAGGAGCTGCTGGGATACATCAGAAACGTCAGCTTCAATGGTGAGAAACGTCCTCTGTTCTAATACATTATTCTGCTACTCGGTTTAATTGGATTTTGGAAAGCACACTTGAACCTCAACCCCGATTGTTTAATTAATTTGCATAATTTTTAACAGCCACCTTTGTTCATAATCAGAAATGTTTGTGCTGTAAAATCGAACCGCTCCTGTTGTGTATTCAGAAATGTTTTAATTTGTACAAGTTCTTAATCATTACAATTGTTATTTTTGTTTTGATTTTCATTTAATTAGCATTTTTATTGTTACTTAAAAATGTTACAGTAAATGTAAAATATAGAATAATAGTAATAAATAATTAGAAATGTTAAAACTAAAAAAGTGAAAACTATTTTTTTTTAAATCAATTAAAAAGTTTGTTGAATTAGTTTTATTAATTTTCATAATTTATCAGAAATTTTAAACTTTGAAATCACACAACCCTTGTTGTGTATACATAAATAAAAAAAATTACAATGCCTCAATTATTGAATTTAATTTAATTTTAATTTACTTTAACCATTTTTATACTTAAAAATTTTAAGGTATATCAAAATAAAGTAAAAAATAATAAATTAAAACTTTAAATGTCATAATTTTTTAAAAGCCACATTTCTTCATCATAAAAAAAATTGTACGTTAAAACCGCACAGGCATTATTGTGTACTAAAAAAGTACATTTAATTTAAGAAATTGTTTTTATTTAATTGTAATCCGTTCTTAATCATTTATGTTTAGGATTAGGAATCAACTGGTTCCATTTAAAAAAAAAATACTGTAATTGAATTATTTTTATGATGTTTGTTTCCAACTGTTCTGGAATGTCTTTATCTGCCAAAATAAATAAATTAATCAAATAATAAAACAATAGAGAATTTATAATGTAAACATCAGAGGCGTTGTCATGACGCATACCTTGTTTTCAGTCGGCTGTGGTTTTCGAGCATACAGACAGCAATATCTGTCTGTCTGTCTGTCTGTCTTTCTTTTGTAACACTTTATTTTAAAGTGTCCTTGTTACACGTTACATGTACTTACTATTATAATAATTAATTTGACATAATTGCATGGAAGTAAACCTAAACCAAAGCTTAATCCTAACCCTAACCATATAGTTACATATTACATATTACAATGTAACAAGGACACATAAAATAAAGTGTAACCCTTTCTTTCTTTTTATAGTTTGTTTAATATTTTGTATTGTACTTTTGCATTTTATCTTTAATTTAATTTTGTTCTGTGTTTGTCTTTTTTTAATGTTTTGTATACTTTTTAGTTTTAGTTTTATTTTAGTATTTCAACCAGGTTTGATATTTTGAATTATGTTTTTGTAGTTTTTTTTATAGTTTTAATAATTTGTATTAATATTTAATTATATATAATTTTTATTTCGGTTTTCATTTAAGTTATTTTATACGGTGGCCGAGAGAGGTCAACGCGCGGCAAATTCAGAAAACACATCCAAATAGAAAAAGCACCAGCAAATTAAGAAAACATCTTCAAGAGTTTGACAGCACATGTGCTGCAAATACTCGCAACACAATCAAATACAAAAACACGCTGCAAATGCTCACAACACAAACAAATAAAGAAACGCACTGCAAATACTCACAACACAAACAAATAAAGAAACGCAAGTACAGACCACAAACAATGCCAAAATTACCTGAACAAAACAAAAATTAACAATGTTTTTTTTTTGTATTGATTACCATTTGTATAACCACAGTTGTACAAATACCATGGTTAAACTATGGTTAGTGTAGTGAATCCATGGTTAAGTTGTGGTTACCATGGTTTAACTATAGTAACCATTTTTTGTTTTTATTTATTTTTTACATAATAAATGTATTTATTACTTAATTAATTTTATTAGTAAAACCATATGGTTAATTTTTGTAAGGGAAGTTGTAAAGTAAGTTAGCCAGCTTACATGCTTTCACAGTTAATTGTGTATTTCGTCAGCTTATTTAGGCTAATCCTTTCAAAAAAAAAAAAAGAAAAAAAAAGAAGCAAGGAATCGTATGATCAGGATGTTAAAATAAGATGTTTTCTTAATTTGCAGATGTTTTTCTATTTGCATGTGTTTTTTTTCATTTGAGCTCTCTCAGCCACCGTAATTTTAGCATTAAAGTTAATATTTAATCAAAACTAAATGTTGCCTTGGCAACTAGCTGAAATAAAAAAAGTTTTCATATATATATATATATATATATATATTCTTTTTGTTAATATTTCTTTTATTTCAAGTAATAAAAATGTTTTTTTTTATGGTTTTAGTTTTACTTAACGATAATAACCCTGCAGATAACTTGATATAATTACATCACATTTTGATTAATTTATCAAATTAATCTTGTCAATATTTGCTAAGCAATTATTAGATAATTTAAAGGTTCAGGAGGATTGTGGGAGTTTATTTTTAATGCATTATTTAAAATAAATAAATAACTGTGCTAAATTAATATATTACATTGGCAGCCCTCATTAAAACACTGAAGACTGTGACTGAAGAAGATGATGTAAAAAATAAAATGCAGGAAAGATTTTATGACTTCTAGGGTGAAACATGGCCAGTTTGGTCCTCAGCGTAATGAGTGTAAAACTGTGTCTTGAAGGGTTTTACGCCTCTGCACAAATAACTGCGTTAGGATGGACGTGACCACAAGCACATGCTAGTTTGGCTGTGCTCAGTCGTGTGACGCTAAACTGTTGATGTTTACGTTCAGACGGATTCGTGAGTCAAATGTAATGCAATGTGTAATGTTTAATTTGTTTGACAAAACGCATTTCAAATGCTGCTTTTGTGTTTTGCATTCTTTAACATTCAAAGCGCTGTGTGTGTTCGTCTCGCATGCATGAGTGTATTTGTGCATATATGAGCCATCATGTCTGTTCAGGATCATGTGATGCACATCTGACGTTTCTATTGTGTTTTTTCTTGCATGGACCACTTGATTGAGGCAGTAAGGGATGTTTTTTTTTTTTCCGGCGAACAGCAAGAGGATGATTTCTAATCAAGTCAATGATAAAAGCAACAGAGTCGAGCTTCAATCCCACAACCTTTGTCCCAGAGCTATGACAGCCACTGTGGCCAGCAGGCAATTGCCAAGTCAACTGCAATCAGATGCACTTCAGTGGCTTCATACATATGCTTATTTTTAGATATGTGTGTTAGAGCAGAGCTACAAAATGAACATGTCTGTCATGATCACACCGAATGTCCTGTAGTTATTATGCTGTGCGTGTGTTGTGTGTCTTCCATATACTCCATATAAGCAAGTATAATACTAAATTTTTTTTTATTTATTCTTAAAAAAAAGGAGAAAATATATTTGCCGATGATGTGAAATAAACTTCAATATATATTTAAAAAGTTACCTTAATAATATAATTTAATATAATAATTTCTTATTTAATGCTTTTTTGTTTTGTTGTTCATATCTTTTTATTTTATTTTATAAAATTATACATTTTTTTAGTTTTCCATTGTTAACTTGTATTTTATTATTATTATTTTACTTTCAATGTATTTTCTATTGTTTACTTTTCCATGTTGTTGTTTTTTTTAATAACTTTAAAAAAAAAAAAATTTACATTTTATTTCATTTTTCATACTGAAGGGAATTCAAAGTCTTGCCCAACATTACAGACATTATTTTTCAAATACATGCTGATGTATATAATTAAAATAAAATACAGTAAGATAGCATTCAACATTTAGGAAGCAGAAGAACTCTCTCAAGCTAGTCAGAGCATCTTAATAGCAAGCGATGGATTATAGAGCTGACCTGGAAAGATTTCATTGTGTTTTCATCTCTATTATCGATTTTCTCAGCAGCTAAGTGAAAACAGATTATTAAGTAGCTGGATAATGGTTGAATAAATGGAGGACAGGGAAAGGACGTTGCGAGCGTCTGCTGTGAGCGTATTGGCAGCTAATTGTCTTTATAAAGAGCGGAAAAATCAATACAGCGAGATGAGTTCAATAAACAGTGGATTGTAGGCAGTGCTTAATTTGAGCCGGATCCTGTTCCGGAAAATGTCAGATTTTGGATTTTTGCGTTCCGGTATTTGTTTTTAAAGATCCGGCATTAACAAGTGCATTAGATTGTGACAGTGCGTGCGTGCATACTAGACGGAGCGATTGCGGGTTTATGTAGATGTATTTGGAGCATAATTTGTAGATTATGTATTGGTCCTCAACATATTATTGACCAATCAGCTTTCTTATGTTCAAAATCGCTCTCGTTGATTGGTGCTACTGCTTAACCCACTCTCTCCACTCTTTTGTGAGCAGCGGAACGTTTTGTAATAATACCAGAAATAATACCAAATAAAAGTAAATATTATAATGTATAAACATTATAAACATCATAGCCTAGTTCCCCTCACTCCAAAACAAATCATTTGAATGTAACGGTATGCAGAACAGATCAAGAATGAAAAGAAAAATCCAAAATGCTTTGGATAAAAGCGTCTGCTAAAGTGTAAATGTTTACTTTTATTTTTGCACACTCGCAATAAAAAGAACATTTGTGTTTGTGTAATTAAGCAAACAAAAGGATGCGCGTTCTGTCATCTCGGTTCTCGGTTTCCTTTCCGTGAACTTGTTTGCGGATTGCCGCGACCTCACATCTGTTTTATATCTGTTAATTATTTATGTCAGATATATTTCGCATATTTATACCTTTTCTATATAGATTATGATTTTATTTTATTTTTATGGAAATAAAAATAATACATTTTTATGTTATTCTTAATGTGCCTTATTCAATTTGCCTTAAATCATCCTGGTGACCCATTTCTGACCCAGGGTTTGAAAACCTAGGCTGTATTGTTCATGCATAGTCCATGCAGAAACTTGTGAACGATGCTCTTATAGTTCTTGTATATGGTCTTGTGTATTGTATACTGTTTTATGCATACTTATGATAGATCACTAGTTAATGTAAACTCACCTGTACCATGTTTGGTCTCTATGTATTCGTCTTCGGATGA